CCGCCACTGGGGCCTTCGGTGGAGTTCCCTATGGAGCCACGACGCGTTGTACTGGGTGGAGGAATCGCACGCGAACCATGCGACTGGGGCCTTGGGTGGATCTCCCTATGGGGCCACGTGTGAGCGGTGGGCCAAAGTGGACAGGAGGCGGCATGTGAACGCAGCCACTGGGGCCTTCGGTGGAGCTCCCTATGGGGCCACGGAACGTGTGAGGGGTGGGCCAAAGAGGACAGGAGGCGGCATGTGAACGCAGCCACTGGGGGCCCTGGGTGGAGCTCCCTAGGGGGCCACGAATCGTGCGAGGGGTGTGCCAAAGTGGACAGGTGGCGGCATGTGAACGCAGCCACTGGGGCCATGGGTGGAGCTCCCTAATTATGCGGCCGCGACGCGCGCGAGGGGTGTGCAAAAGTGAGGGGGTGACGGGAGGAAGGAGGAGGAGGAGGAGGAGGAGGAGGAGGAGGAGGAGGAGGAGGAGGAGGAAGAGGAGGAGGAGGAGGAGGAGGAGGAGGAGGAGGAGGAGGAGGATAGGAGACGAGAGGAGGACGCGGGGCACCGTCTCTTCAAAACGAGGACCCAACACCACAAGATGGTTGGGAACAAATCGAGGTTTGAGGTCTTTGGCGCTTTCGTCGGGTCTCGGCTGCTTTCCAGCCTCGGGATGCTCTCCAGCAGCTGCGCCGTGCCGAGAGCGTTCCAGGGGTGCCCAGATCGTCCCGAACGGCCGCCGAAGGCCCGAGTTCTGGCCCGATAGTCTGCGCATCTTGATTTGATGTGGGCTCGAGCACGGGATCAGGATCGAATTGTTTTTTTCTGGCCGCGGCCAGGTTCCGCCACGAAGAGGCTTCCCGACCGAGCTCTCAGGAACGACCCGAAATCCAGAGCCTCTCTAAAGTTAGGTCGGGCATGTCCTCCTACAGGCGGATTTTTGAAAGGCACAAGCGTAGTCAAATAATACTTAGCCGAGAAAGCACGAACAATCATCACCATCCTATTTCGTCACTGTTCTTGAATGTTCCTCCTGTAGAGGGGCATGCCCGACTTCACTCCAGAGCCCAAAGCTGTCCTATCTCAGCGCCAAGGGATGCAAGCGGGCGCGCGCCCACGCCCATGGGCGGAGGGGCCCTGCAGCAGGCCTGGCAGAGTGCAGAGGTCAAAAGGCGTTCTATTGCGTGGGGCGGGTCGTGCCTCGCCCCCCGGGCTCGTGAACGGCCGAACGCGCCACGTCTGAAGGTCTGTCGATTCGAAATCGCCGAGTGAGGCAGAAGATGGCCGCCCTTCTTCCTTCTGGCGGCGACCGCCCTTCGGGACAGCCGTGAGCGCGCAGCTGTCCCCCGCCCCCGGGGCTTGGCGTACCTTCCTCGTTCTACACCGATGTCTGGTTGTCGCATGTTTGGTCTAACAAGCTTGGGACTGTGCAGCGCTCCCCCATCTCACCGAAGCTTTGCCCAAGGGGTTCCTATGTTCTTCGCGGGGAATCTGGTGGGTCTGGGTTGCTTCGTCAGAGGCCTTCCTCAGGTTCCTTGGTTTTGCGTGCCTCGGTGTTGGGCTCATGGGGGGTTGCCTAGGGTTCCTCGGGGTCTCAGCAGCGCTAAGCAATGTCAAGCAGTGCCCAGCAATGCAAACCAATACCACGAAATGGCAATCAACTCAACTCAAAGCAATGCCAATTAACGGCAATCGTTGCAAGACAATGTAAAGACATGTAAAGCAATGCCAAACCAATTCCAAACCACTCGCCCATGCTACACGATGAGGGCATTGGATAAGGAACCCTTGGGTAACCAGGGACTGGAAGCATGTCGAACACCAACAACTGATGCTCGGCCAAAGATATCACCGCCGCCCTCATCATAACAAGAGTCCAGAGGCCTCCTGGGCCCCACCGTAGGAAGCTTCCCCTCGCGGTCAAGAGGTTTTGCTCCGCGTCGGGGATCTTCTGACTCGGGTCAGTGCAAACCCGGGTCAGTCAGGCTTTTCAGATCTGGTGCTTTGACTGACCCCCGTTTGCATTGACCCTCGTCTCTTGACCCCCGATAGCGTGTCGCGGCTGCAGCCCCGGCGACACGCTGTGCCCTGCGAACGTATCGCGCGTCGCTCCGCTCCGCGGGGCGGGAGACCAGGCAAGGCTCCGGACGTGGACTCCTGGGGGCCGAGAGATGGCTAGCGTGTCGCTCCGAGGCGCGGTGGGCCAGAACGGGCGGATCGGCACGCTGTGGGACGCACAGAGACATAGTATCACTCATGTCCTCCTTGGAGGCGCGCGTCCGACCCGAACATATAATTTACCCATCTTGCAGTATGATACCAGAGAAAAACCCAAATCAGATTTTTTAATCTTCCATTTGCTCCCTTGTAGGGCTATAGGGCTATAGGGCTATAAGGCTATCGGGCTATAGGGCTACAGGGCTATCGGGCTATAGGGCTATAGGACTGTGACCTATAGGGCTATAGGGCTGTAGGACTATGGGGCTATAGAGCTATATGGGCTATGGGGCTATAGGGCTATAGGGATATAAGGCTATAGGGCTACAGGGCTATAGGGCTATACGGCTATAGGGCTATAGGGCTGTAGGGCTACTGGGCTATTGGGCACCCCCAGGCACCCGGGCACCCCCGGGCACCTGGGCACCCGGGCACCTGGGCCCGGACACCGAAATCGGCCACGCACCTCACCGGCCACCCGGGCACCCGGGCACCGCCTGGCACCGCCGGGCACCCGGGCGCGGCCACCGAAATCGGCGACAAACCTCACCTAACCCTTTAATCCGGAGAGGCAAGCTCTGATTGGGGAATATCGTTTCTCGAGTGGTGTGGCTGGAAAGCGCCTACCACGACGCATGCTCTACAAGATCTCTCGGTGCGTGTGTCGCCCCAAGGAGGGCGACGCATATGTTGGGGTGAACATTCTCAGCGTCGCGCCGGGCTCATCTCTTTTCCAACCTCCTTGGTCTTCCTCGGTCTGGCGGTGCGACCCGTGTGGGGGTGGGCTCGGCATTTGTGCAGCAGCCCGAGATATAGGTTGCGCTCCGGGTCGTGCCGCTGCCGCCGTGCGACTGGTGGAGCCTGTGCCGACTCTCCGTCAGCGCCACGGCTGAATCCTGCTGGATCTCGATATATCATCTCTCGAGCGACTGCGAGCAGCATCGTGGCATGCTACAGTCAAGCCGTATATAAAAGAGGCGCAGTAAGGATGCAAGGGCCTTGGAGAGCCATGCTAGCATTTTTCGAACGAGGTTGGCCAGCGGAAGTCGCCAAGGATGGGCGGACGGGGCAAGGAGGCAAGGGTAGCCTTGGAAAATCGCTCATCCTTTCTTTGCGGGTTTACTGCAGTTGCGACCTGTCGTTCGAGCTTCTATTTGCATAGCCTCAGCTGGCGAGGCGCGGAGTCACGCGCAGACAACCCCTCGAGGCAGTCCAGGCTGGCCTCGGCATGCCTCCAGGGGCAGGTCACCCGAGGCGGCCTCAACACCCTTGCGGCGCGCCACGCCCTGCACTTGGGGGGGCCGAAGCCATCTCGGACTACCCCGGGGGCCTGCTGAGGCCAGCCCACAGTCAAGAACCTCTGCTCAGCGTGTCGCGGCGGCGGCCCCGGCAACGCTCTATGCCCTGCAAGCGGACAGCGCGTCGCTCCGCTCAGCGGGGCGGGAAGCCTCGGAAAGCTCGTGGCGCTGTCGATTGGTAATTCGGACGTGGCTAGCGTATCGCGCCTGGGGGTGGTGGGCCAGAACAGGCGGACCAACATGCTGAGCAGACGTTCCTGCCCGTAGACTGCCTGTGGGGGTCCGTCACTGCGGACCTGGAGTGTGAGCCTTTGGCATCAATTTTCCAAGTTCAACCAACCGATGTGGATGCTCTGGGGCGTTCAGCCGGTTCTGCGGCGGTGATTCCCGACCTTTTCGACCCCACGCACGGCCAGGCTATACCCTGCTCGCGAATGGCCAACGGTCACCTGTTTATAGCTCGTTGGACCCCCGCCCGTGACCACTGCATGCCCCATCTGCGGACGCTACTAGTGCCATCCTGCCTGGCCAGATTAAAGCCCACCTGCGACTAACGAATGCTTCACAAAGAGCTGGATATTCCGACCGCCTTCCGCTGCTATGGAGAAGGCCCTCATGGGAACCTTCATGCAATCCACGTTCCCACGCGCCATTGCTGAAGCGCCAAGCTGTGGGTGGCGCGGCTACCACTTCCGCCACCAGGAATAAAAAAAACTCAAACCCGCGCGCGTGCCTTGAATTTCCCCATGAGATCAACGACGTGCAGCGCGACGACGTACAGTAGGAGCTCGACCACAAGATGATTCTACGCAGCCTCCGACTGACGCGCCTGCTAAGGGCGAGTGACTCGAAGCGCTGCTGGCGCTGGGACGCGCGACCAAACCAGTCGTCGGGGCACCGGCGCCAGCGCCACTCGGAGGAAACGACCCCGCACAGGGTGGGAGAGACAGAAGTGCGACAGGCAGCCGCCAGCGGACACCAACACCACGGGACGAGTCCGCAAGCCTGGTACTTGCTATCCAGCCCCAGAGTCCTGGCGGTGTCACGACACCCACACGGCACGGCGCGGCGCAAGGCACTAGGAACCGAGGTCTGGGAAGCGCAAGCGCGAAGCGTTGGCCGAACCCCTCACGGGGGCAACGGGCAGGCGCGCGATGCCGCGATGCCCTCCCGGCCGCAGCCTGCCGATGCGCCACGATGCCCCGAATGGACGAAGCCACAAGTCGACCCCCGAAAGTCTGCTGAATCCTCTTGCACTCAAGCCCTGGTGAATTTAAGGGCCACGCGGATTCTACGCAGCCTCCGAGTGACCGCGCCTGCTAAGGGAAAGCGACTCGAAGCGCTGCTGACGCTGGGGCGCGCGACCGAACCAGTCGTCGGGGCCCATTGCTATGGACAGGCTCGCCCCCCAACGCTCATGCCCACCGCTGGCGAGTGGGCCGCGCCTCTGGGAGACGGCGAGAACCCTGGGGTCTGGCGGACGGGCGCGCCAGCGCGCACCTCAAAACCGCCTGCTTTTCCTTGCGCGCGATCCCGTCACCGGACGAAGAATCTGAGACCTCGACCAACCATTCCGCGGCCAGGAGGGCGCCCTTCGCCTGCGCAGACGCGCAGCCGAGAGCAGCGACGCCCTTCCATCCCCCGCTGAAGAAAAGGCTGGTCAAGCCGCCTTGTGTCAAGGCCTCGTCCGCCCAGCCTCGGCGGAACGCGTGGGTCTCCCACTCACTGGCCCGTGGGGAGCCCAGGCCGAGTGCCGCCACTTTCAGAGCAGCGGAAGAGCCCGAGCAGGTGAGGCTGGGGAACGCGCGGCCCACGGCGGCGCGCTTGCGCAGCACGCGAACTCCGCAAAGCTCCGGCGTCTGCAACTTGCATGTGCACTTCCTCACTACTTCCACAGGCGAACTGCACCCCTGTCTTTTCTGGAGCACGATGCAAGCCTGATGCTGGCCCTCTCTCTTGGAGATCTGGACCTCTGATTGACCGCCAGAAAAGTGCAGGGGCACGACCTCTGATCCAAAGCTCAGGCAGAAAGGCCGGGCCACCACAATTGCGCCGGCGAGGTCGGGCTCGCCCAGGTTGGCCCGCAAATGTCGGCTCAAGTCGCGCGTCTGCTTCGCCGACGCCCGGGGCGTATATCTGTCTTTCCGGGGCCCCTTCAAAGCTCCTCTGCCGAGCTCGGCCGTGTGTCGCACAGGACGCCCAGCGGAGCGTTGACCAGGCGCAGCGCGGAGCAAGCCTGGGACAGGTAGTTACTTGACCGAACTCGCCCCCTGCGCGGACACGCCGCCAGCTGCGGCCGCAGCGCTGCTGCTGGCGCCGCCGCCAGCATGCGCGGGTCACCCCGGGGCGCCCAAGGTGAACTTCTGGCGCTTGCCCGCAATGTCCTGCTGAGCCATTGTTGAGCCAACGGCTACGGACAACAAGCGCCGTGAGTGCCGGCGGCAACGAGGCATTGACTTGACGAGCGAACACTTGCCCCAGAGTCACCTCCGCGGACAATGAAGCGAGCACCAAAGGCGCCCCCGAGAAGCGTTCACTGCCAGCGGCCACCAAAACCACGGGACGAGCCCGCGAGCCCCGTACTTGCTATCCCGCCCCGGAGTCTGGGCGGTGACACGACACCCACACGGCACGGTGCGGCGCAGGGCACCAAGAGCCGAGGTCTGGGCAACGCAACTGCGAAGCGGTGGCCGAACCCCTCACGGGGGCAAAAGGCAGGCGTGCACTGCCGCGATGCCCTCCGGCCGCAGCCTGCCGATCAGCCACGATGCCCCGAATGGACGAAGCCACAAATGGACCCCCGAAAGTCTGCTGAATCCTCCTGCACTCAAGCCCTGGTGAACTTAAGGGCCATGAAACCTTCCACGAGAAACCCGACCCTGAGACCCCAGGACGTCCATTGCTTTTTGGTGAGGGAGCGTCACGCTTTTCCATAGCAAAACCATCGTGACCCAAGAAGCCCGTGGCACCCTGAGGCAAACAGGGTGTCTCTTGGCATGGGTCCCCTCTGTGCAGTACGACGATCAGCGAGCATGCGGTGGCGCAGGTGGCCTAGGGGTCGTGCCGTGTCTCGCCGCCGCCCGCCCGCCTCTGCCCGGGCTCCCAGGAGACGCCTCTCCGCTCGGCCATGATCTCGCAGAGCCCACTCCTCACCCCGAGGAGGAGGAGGAGGAGGAGGAGGAGAAGGAGGAGGAGGACGAGGAGAAGGAGAAGGAGGAGGAGGAGAAAGGAGGAGGAGGAGGAGGAGGAGGAGGAGGAGGACACCACCTGGAGAGTACCCCCCCCTTTGCTCCGCCTGCCGCTGCTGCAGCCGCTGCCGCTCGAATGTATTTGTTCCGTGCCCCTTTCATGTTGTTGCCGCCTGTCTTTGTCGAGCGGCAGCGGCGCTGCAGCAGCGGCAGGCGGAGCAAGGGGAGGGTGGTACTCTCCAGTGGTGTTCCTCCTCCTCCTCCTCCTCCTCCTCCCCTCCTCCTCCTCCTCCTCCCTCCTCCTCCCCTCCTCCTCCTCCTCGTCCTCCTCCTCCTCCTCCTCCTCCACCTCCTCCTCCTCCGCCTCCTCCTGCACCTCCCTCGCCCTGGCCCTCGTCGGGGGGGGGGAGGCCCGCCGCGCGGCAGGGGGCTCGCGGCCTGCGAAGCCGCGCGGCGGCAAACCCGCGGGGGCGGGCCTCGCCGGGGGGGGGGGGGCTGCCAGGTGGGCGGCCTACGCCCGCCTCGTCTTCCTGCCTTCCAGAGGAGGGCACGTCGCCGCCTGCCGCCGCCGCCGCCGCCGCCGCCGCCGCCGCCGTCGTCGTCGTCGTCGTCGTCGTCGTCGTCGTCGTCGTCGCCGTCGTCGCCGTTGCTGCTGCTTCTGCGGCTGCTGCTCTTGATTTTGTAGTTGTTGTTGGTGTTGCTGTTGTTGGCGGTGTTTGTGTGTTGTTGTTGTTGAATATTATTACTTCTAAAGAATAATTATTGTTGGGCGTGCGCGCGCGAAGAAAAAACGAATGTGTCCCATATGGTATTATTTGACAGGGATGATGGCCCTGGCAGGCGCGCAACCTTTGTTGCAGAAGTTCGAAGCACGTGAAAAAGTTGCTCGCAAGAGCCCGTTTGACAGAAATGTTGAAAAAGTATTGGGTTTCCTAAGAAATCCGCAAGAGCGCGCGGGGTGAATTTTTGAAACCCTTTTTTTGAAAAACCATTGGGTTTTTCATGTTTTTATGTGAAAATCGCTACGAAGACTAAGGTTTTGGAAGGATTTCGTCTTGCGCGCGCGAATGTGCACTTCGTGTCATTTTTTGCAAGGGATTCTTGAAGTTTGGTCATGTTAGAACAAGAAATGTCAACTTTGCCTTATTTTTTGCAAGGGAAAACCGATCGTAACAACACAACCGGATCCGGACCAACCCGTTTTGCCTGAGACTTCCTCACGAAAATGATGAAAATGTGGCTGCGGCCTAGGCGCGGCGGGGGGGGCGCGCACCAGGGGTCCCAACAATAATTATTCTTTAGAATTAATAATGTTCAACAACAACAACAACAACAACAACAACAATTACTAGCACGTGGGGACACTTTCTCACTGCCAGGGTTTTCATAGTACCCCCACTTTGTGCCGGTTCAAGCTCTACCAAATTTCCAAACGCTCTTCGGCTTCCCGCCCTACGTTCGGACGTGGCTACTGGCTACTTTCAGGGCCCCGCGGCCGACGACGACGGCGTGCGCGCGCGAAGAAAAAACGAATGTGTCCCGCATGGTATTATTTGACAGGGATGATGGCCCTGGCAGGTGCGCAACCGTTGTCGCAGAAGTTCGAAAAAGTTGCTCGCAAAAGCCCGTTTGACAGAAATGTTTAAAAAGTGTTGGTTTTCCTACGAATCCGCAAGAGCGCGCGGGATGAGATTTTGACATTTTTTTGTTGAAAAACCATTGGTTTTTTGATGTTTTTATGTTAAAATCGCTCCGAACACTAAGCTTTTGGAAGGATTTCGTCTTGCGCGCGCGAATGTCCACTTTACCTTATTTTTTGCAAGGGATTCTTGAAATTTGATTATATTAGAACAAGAAATGTCATTTTATAGTGTTTTTTGCAAGGGAAAGCGGATTACAACAAAACAACCGGATCTGACACATCGTTTACCTGAGGCTTCCTCACGAAAATGATGAAAATGTAGCTGCGGCCTAGGCGGCGCAGGGGGGCGCGCACCAGGGGGCCCAACAATAATTATTCTTTAGAATTAATAATGTTCAACAACAACAACAATCATTTAAGACTGGGGACACTCCGTTCTCACCAGTGCCAGGGTTTTCATAGGAGGCGGGCAATACCCCCACTTTGTGGGGGGGCCGGTTCAAGCTCTACCAAGTTTAGGACGACTCTTCGCCACCACCCACACCCAGCTTCCCGCCCTATGACGTTCGGACACTTCACTTCGTGGCCTGCGGACGACCTTGGCTACTACACTGGCGCATGGGTACAATGACTTGTTGTGGTAACATTTTGTGGAAGCTAGCTTAGTATACGACTTATCCCCCTGTTCCAACACTGGACACCTGTACCGTTTTCCGACGTTTTTCCGTTTCTGTACCACACAAGCAAAGATTATTTTGAGTGGTACCACGTGCGTGGCGCCAGCATACCACGTGCGTGGCGCCAGCATCCGAGATGGCTACGGATGTGACAGTGATCAGTGATTTTGTTCGATGACGTGGTGACACACGGACTTGTTGTGGTAACATGCCGACGACGATTTTCGAGGTCCCACGGTGCGATTCGTATGATTTTATGTTGCGCGGTGCTAAAATTCCTACGAAACCCAATGGTTTTTGAAGATTTCGGCGTGCGCGCGCAAAGAAAAAACGAATGTGTCCCGCATGGTATTATTTGACAGGGATGATGACCCTGGCAGGTGCGCAACGGTTGTTGGAAAAGTTCGAAGCACGTGAACAAGTTGCTCGGAAAAGCCCATTTGACAGAAATGTTTAAAAAGTGTTGGGTTTCCGACAAATCCGCAAGAGCGCGCGGGATGAAATTTTGACGTTTTTTTTTTGAAAAACCATTGGTTTTTTGATGTTTTTATGTGAAAATCGCTACGAACACTAAGGTTTTGGAAGGATTTCGTCTTGCGCGCGCGAATGTCCACTTTACCTTATTTTTTTGCAAGGGATTCTTGAAGTTTGGTTATGTTAGAACAAGAAATGTCCACTTTAGCTTATTTTTTGCAAGGGAAAACGGGGGACAACAAAACAACCGGATCCGGACACCCACGTTTTGCCTGAGACTTCCTCACGAAAATGATGAAAATGTGGCTGCGGCCTAGGCGCGGCGAGGGGGCCGCGCATCAGGGGTCCCAACAATAATTATTCTTTAGAATAAATAATGTTCAACAACAACAACACCAACAACAGCAGCAGCAGCAGCAACAACGGCAGCAACAACAACAGCAACAACAACAACAACAACAATAATTGTTAAGACCGTTCGCCCTTATATGCTCGAGTGTCCAATAACGCGTATTTCCCAAACCCTCGATACCCGCCCTCTTCGTCTTCGATCGAACCCCTTTTGGGGGGTATGCCTTTCTTCCCTGCAGGCCGGGCCCCGGCAAGCGGCGGGGCGGCCGCGGACCGTCGGCCTGGCCAGCGGCAGCGCTGATCGGCGGGGCGGCCGCGGACCGTCGACCCGACCCCAAGAGGGACGGACAGGGGACCGACCACGACGACGACGACGTCGAAGACGACGGCGACGACGACGACGACGGCGGCGACGAGCGAAAGCGAGAGCGAGAGATAACGACAGCAGGGCCACGAAGGGCACGAAGTAGGCCACGAAGGGCGACAGCGGGGACACGAAGGGAATGCGTATGGGGCCACGAAGAGCGCGAACGAGCGGGGGCCACGAAAGGCAGATAACGTGGGGCCACAGAAGGCAACTATTGGGCCACAGAGGGTAGCGACTGGGCCACGTACGACAGTGAGGGGGACATAAATGGCGACAGCGGGGCCACGAAGGGCACGCACATGGGGCCACAACGGGCGCGACTCCTGGGTGCCTGGGTGTCGGGAGCGCGGCGCTTTGGCAAATTGCAAGAAATTCCAACGCAAGGCCATTCTTCAGTAAGTTGTAAGCAAGTCTCCAGCGAGAGCGCGACTCCAGAGCGCCGGGAGAACGATTCCTGAATAAATT